AATTATTATTTTTTCCACAATTCTAATAGTGAGAAGTCTGAGAACAGATTGATCTATTCTTGTTCATCAAAATATGTTCATCATTATATCCCACAAATGAGTGAGATGAAGTGATATTTATCTTTCTCTAACTGGCTTATTTCACTTAGCATAATGCTCTCAGTTCCACCTATGCTGCTGCAAATGGTAAAAGTTCCTTCTTTTTTATAGCAACGTAGTATTCCACTGTGTAGATGTACAACAGTTTTTTAATCTACTTATCTGGTGATGGACATTTAGGCTGTTTCCAAATCTTAGCTATTGTAAATTGTGCTGCTATGAACATAGGGGTGCATATATTCTTTCTGATTGGTGTTTCTGGTACAGTGTCTTTCCTTTACCCAGGTTTTTGTTCAAATATCATTTTCTTATCAGGATATGAGAAATTGTGCATTATGGTCCACCCTAATGCCCCCATTTTAACTTACCTTATAAAAGACACTTTCTCCAAATACAATGATTTTATGAGGTACTAGGTGTTAAGATTTCAACATACGAATTTTGCAGGACACAATTCAGCCCATAACATCCTTCTTGGCATGAAACTTGCATCTGATTAGCAAACTGGCCCAATATTTTCAACTTGGCACCAACCATGGTATAGCTTCCACTATAAGAGTAAGGGCGGCCTAAACCGGTTTGGCTCAGTGGATAGAGTTTCGGCCTGTGGACTGAAAGGTCCCAGGTTCTATTCTGGTCAAGGGCATGTACCTTGGTTGCGGGCACATCCCTAGTAGGGGGTGTGCAGGAGGCAGCTGATCGATATTTCTAACTCTCTATCCCTCTCTCTTCCTCTCTGTAAAAAATCAATAATATATAATATATATATAATATATTTATTATATATAAAATATAATATTTATTTATTTATTTATTTTTTATAAAGAGTAAGGGCAAATTGGGGTGAAAGGGCTTCAGTTCTTTTGGCTGCACTTGTCAGCCAAAGCTGAGAGTGATAGAGCTGCCAGTAGCCTACTTTCCCAGGAAAAAACTGTCACCCTAGTCTGGGAGATAGGAGGAGAGAGGAAATCCCATCTTCTTGTTCATAGCTGCCAAAAGAAGAATTCATATCTTTCCAAGTTACGGGAGGGCTGATGTTAGGAGTGGAACATGGGTCAAATGGCACAGACTCTTGCTTTTCTTACCAAGACTTATTAGATGTTCTTGAATAAATGTTTCTTCACTTGCTCTATGTCAGAACAATTTACAAAGAAATTAAATATTAAAAAAGATTCGTTTTCACCACTGAAAGGATTTGATGTTTCTAATTCTCTATCCATCTCCCTTCCTCTCTGTAAAAAATCAATTTTATATATATATATATATATATATATATATATATTTTATTTTTTTTATTTTTTTTATTTTTTTTAATGATAAAACAATTAGCCCTGGCCAGTGTGGCTCATTTGGTTGGAGCGTTGTCTCATGTACTGAAGGGTCTCAGATTCAATTCCCAGGCAGGGCCCATACCCAGGTTGAAGGTACAATCCTGGCCTTGACAAAGGCCAATATTTACCTTATATAAGCCTGTTTATTTTATTGTCCTTTTGCATATAAGATAACATACCCTTGGAATTCTGAGAAATCTTTTCAAGATGCCTCAGGGCACACCCACACAGCAGAGCCCGAGTATAGAACCCTTCACTGTTATCTTGTTTCTGAAATACCATCTCTATGTGCTGTAAATTAGAGTAAAAATTGTTAACTATCCATCAATGTAAAAGAAGTATGTGTCTCTGCATTTTACTCTTTATCAGAGTCATAGATTTCCCCCCACTTTGCTTTCCCCTATCTCTCTAATCTACCACCAATGAATTTCATGTAACCCTCCTTTGTTTCTTCCTTTGACTCTAATGTATAAAATAAGCTGTAAAACTGCCATTCTATGGAGCATTTTATGAATCCGTTGAAATTTTGCTTCCTGGCAATTGTCATCAGTTTGGCTCAAACTTCCACAAATTATCTATAGATTTGGATGTTTCTTCTGTCAATACTGCCCTCCAAAAATTTATTTCTTACTTTTAGTATTTGTAATCACTAATAGGGATCACAGGAAAAACTCCCTAGGAAGATGGTGAAATATAAAAAGAACAACAAAAAGAAAGAAAAAGGTGTTCTACAATATTACCCTCATCTAAGACAAACGTTGAGAAGCTGACATTTTTAGAGTAAAAATGTTAGGTATTTCGTGCTGCATCTATTCAATTTTTATATTATAAAGATACTAGTTTTATAATAGTAGGCAGTGGAAGTTTGAATCCTGGCTCTGCTGATGGTTGTGAGGCTTTGGTCAAGCTACCCAACCAACCTTTCCAAGCCTTAGAAGGTATTAACATCTACCTTTATTGTTAGAGGCATCTCTCCCTGACACCAGAGAGGTGTTACCAGATAGCCCCAGTCAGTGGGAGAAGATTGTTCCCAATCTCAATCCTTGTCTTCTCATAGAAATGAATTTATACGAGACCTTGGCTGTGTTGTTGAAAACCAGTTTATTAAAACAGGTACTTTTACTGAAAAAGCAATGCAAGCAAACCTATGCATCTGGCTTATGAAGCACAGACAGGCTCTCAGCTAATCTGAAGAGCGAGTTGGGTGGGGGTCCGAGGCGTTCTAGACCCTCCTGTCTATAGGTTTCAGAATTCCTTTGCTGAATATTTTGGTACAGATTAATTCTCAAGGTCCCTTTTTACTTTGTTGTTGCCTTCCCAGAATTCCTGAGAAGCACCTGGCAACTTTATCTTGCCGAGCCTGAGACTCCTGGCTTCTCTGTTTAGGGAGTAAAACCGCCCTTTTTTCTTTGCTCTTTTCCTCCTCCCTTTCTGCATTCTCATGGTAGGGAGGTGTTTTTTGTTTTTGTTTTTGTTTTTTTTTTAAATATTCTTATTGATTTTTTACAGAGAGGAAGAAAGAGGGAGAGCTAGAACATCGATGAGAGAGAAACATCGACCAGCTGCCTCTTGCACACCCCCTACTGGGGATGTACCAGCAACCAAGGTACTACATGCCCTGGAGGCTCTATCCACTGAGCCAAACCGGTTTCAGAGGTAGGGAGGTTTTTAATCATTTGCTCTCTGGTGTCTCTGGCTTGTTAGTTATAAAATGCTGCAAATTGCCCACACTGTTTGGCCTTGTTTTAACTTTTCTGTCTTTTCCTCAATTCCTCATGCCCTGGAATCCTGTGACATTTACCAATGGTTGTTTCATCAGATAATCGAATAAGACCAATTTAACACAATGCCCTACATGTATTTACCAAGCCTCTGCATGTTCCTATCATTATTCATAGTAAGTGAAGCTAGTATCCCAGTGTCTCAGTCAAAGCAATATAGATGCATACGGAAGAGAATGCTTAGTTTGAATCTTATTCACAGGCTGGTATTAGCCAGGCATTTAATAGCCGGATCCCGAGTCTTTCACTAAAATAATAATAAAAAAACCCATTAAAAATGAATAAAAATGACCAAAAATATTAAAAACATACAATTATCCGTACCTATTTGTACATATTCAATTTTATTTTCTTATCTTACCATATGTGATCATCCTAAGGTGACCAGACGTCCCGATTTTTAACAATTTGTCCCGCAGCGTTTAAAAAGTCTAAAAATTGGGACTTTTTTTTTTTAAATGCCGGGGGATGTGGGACAAATTGTTAAAAGTCGGGACTGTCCTGCCAAAAGCGGAACATAGATTATCCAAGCCCAAACCTAATCATTTAGAAGAGCATTATTTAAAAAATATATATATATATATTTGATTTTTTTATAGAGAGAAAGGGAGAAGGGATTGAGAGTCTCAAAGACATCAATGAGAGAGAAACATTGATCTGATATGCCTGCAACCAAGGTACATGCCCTTGACCAGAATGGAACCCGGGCCCCTTCAGTCCACAGGCCAATGCTCTATCCACTGAGCCAAACCGGTCTCAGCTAGGAAAGCGTCCTTTTATTCCAGGCTCCAGGTTGAGCTCAGAGAAGACTCCCTCCAAAAGGACCACCAAACCGAAGAAATTCTCTAACGACAGCGTGTGTAGTGGGCGGTGGAAGAGGACCTACGTTAAAAGCCCGACTCTCACTATTGTAGATTGTGCTGCTATGAACATAGGGGTGCACATATCCTTTCTGATTGGTGTTTCTAGTTTCTTGGGACATATTCCTAAGAGTGGGATTACTGGGTCAAATGGGAGTTGCATTTTTAGTTTTTTGAGGAAACTCCACACTGTTCTCCACTATGCTGCCATAAAAAATAAATAAATAAATAAATTAATTAATTAAAAAAAAAGAAGGAATTCTCATCATTTGCAGCAACCTGGATGGAATTGGAGAACATCATTCTGAGTGAAATAAGCCAATCAATGAAAGAGAAACACCACATGACCTCACTCATTTATGGATAATAAAGAACATTATAAACTGATGAACCAAAAGATAGATATAGAGACAGTAAAGCAACAAGCAGACTGTCAAATTACAGTGGGGAGGGGAGGGAGATCTGGGGGAGATAATAGATCAACCGAAGGACTTGTATACATGCATATAAGTACAACCAATGGACATAAAACTCTGGGGAGGGAGGGTATGTATAGGAGAGAGGGAGTGGGGCAAAAAAAAATCAATAAAATATATTAAAATAAAAGAATAAAAATAAAAAAATAAAATAAAATGAATTGTCATGATTCAAAAGAATTTCTGGATGGGTCTTAGACATTAAAATGACTAAGAACAATTAAAAAAAAAAAAAAAAGCCCGACTCTCAGGATGGACTCTCAACCCAAGATCACGTGCCCACGCCCCGCCCCTCTCCGAAAGCCGGATTCCAGGTTCGTAGCGCGACGGGGGCGGGCTGCTCAGCCGACGCTGCAGTGCGAGAGAGGCAGCGCCGTAAAGCAGCGCCCTGAGGTCACGTGGGCGCGGAGGCGGCCGAGGGCACCTGTGCTGGTTCCTGGCCGGCGGCGGGTCATGGCTGGCCCCGTGCGAGTCGGTGGGGCCGGGGCTCTGGACTTGGTCCGGGCCCTGCCCCGCGTGAGCCTGGCCAACCTCCGGCCGAACCCCGGCTCCAGGAAGCCGGTAAGTGGCTGGTGACGGTGCGGGGAGCGCTGCGGCCGCGGCGGAGCGCGGCCTTTCCCGAAGGGCGGCGGGCTGAGCGAGGTGGCCGAGCCCCTGGAAGCCTTCACTGCTCGGAGGAAAGCCCTCCTTCCCCACGTGGCCCCGACTCTGCATGAGGGTTACCTTTAAAAGCACAATTACGTGGATTAGGGAGGAGGAGCGGAGCCGCCAGAACTGCAAACACGATTGCTTCATTCAGAATTGGATTTAAAATGGAAGTCCTTTTCCAGTATGTTTTGGTCTTCACGTGGAAGAGTTCAATTCATTTGTTGCATTAAATGTCTTTTTTGAAAACCACCGAATGCACCCTTGAATAGTTCTTATTGACACTGTCATTTCGAATATCCAATACTTGCTTTTGTGAGGTGACAGAAAATATTTTTTAAAAAATATTTTATTGATTTTTTACAGAGAGGAAGGGAGAGGGATAGAGAGTTAGAAACATCAATGACAGAGAAACATCGATCAGCTGGCTCCTGCACACCCTCTACTGGGGATGTGCCCTGCAACCTGTGTACATGCCCTTGACCGGAATTGAACCTGGGACCTTTCAGTCTGCAGGCTGCCGCTCCATCCACTGAGCCAAACCAGTCAGGGCAATAATATTTTCTTTATAAGTTAGCTTTTAAGTAAAACAATATAGCTAACAATGATACATTTACAATTAATTGTAATATCAATTTTCTTGAATATCCTGTATCATTGTTTGTTGTGAATGTTTAATTCCAGGCTTTTTTCAATGCCAGATTGTCATAGAATCCTTATCCCCATCCCATCCTGGGGTCATTGCCTTTGAAGCACAACTTGGACTTCAGAAGATTCAGCTGCACTTCAGAAGCATAGAGACTGCTTTAGAGTGTGTGGAGACACATTAGAGCAGCTAGAATTGTAGCTAGTACTGGTTGGTTGGATGAATAAATGGCACACAAAATATACAGTGAAAAGGTAAAGTAAAAATTTTAAAAAATGCATCTGTGGATTATAAAACTCTTTCTTCATTTTAGGAAAGACGACCAAGAGGTCGGAGAAGAGGTAGAAAATGTGGCCGAGGCCATAAAGGAGAACGGCAGAGGGGAACCCGGCCCCGACTGGGCTTCGAGGGAGGCCAGACCCCGTTTTACCTCGTAATCCCCAAATACGGGTTTAATGAAGGACATAGGTAAGGTGCTCTTCGCTTTGTAAAATAAAAATCTCTCATTTTCACTGAGAATCACCTGAAAAAAATAGCTTGGTAGAAATGTAAATTCACGTTGAAACCAACTTTTGCTGCTGTTTCTGTGAACCATTTTTGGTAATGAAATTTAGCCTGGATTAGTGGGAACAAAAACCCAGACGTTGCACTCCGACCTGCAAAATGGAGATAATGCCTGCTTTTGTGGTTGTTCAGAGGCTTAGCAAAATGTATATAAACATGTGGCCCATAGTAACAACCCAATAATTAATGCATAATTTAGATAATGAGTTATATTTTCCACAAAGTCATTTATTTGTGTAAATGAGTGAAATAAATGTTTAGAGAGGTAAATTATTTTTAGTGAAAAAAATAAAGTACTGATTTTGTTTCACTACTAAAAATCAAGCAATATTACATATTTTTGTTGTATTTGGGAGGGTTTTATTTTGTTAAACTATCTGAATTGATGGATGAAAACAGGACAGAGCTTTGAGTTGATATGGAGAACTTACAAAAGATAAGTTTGACTAAGTTTTTCAGTAGTTACTTACTTGTTTTGTAGCTTCAGACGTCAATATCAGCCTTTGAGTCTCAAGAGACTGCAGTATCTTATTGATTTGGGTCGAGTTGATCCTACTCAACCTATTGACTTAACCCAGCTTGTCAATGGAAGGGGTGTGAACATTCAGCCATTTAAAAGGGATTATGGTGTCCAGCTGGTAGAGGAGGTAAGTCTATATTCGGTTTATTTTGGAGTTACATAGAAGACTATTTCTGATTTCCATTTAATCAACACTTTGCCTTCTTCTTTTTAAAAAGTATTTTATTGATTTTTTTTACAGGAAGGAAGGATTTTTTTTTTACAGGAAGGATAGATAGTTAGAAACATGGATGACAGAGAAACATTGATCATCTGCATCTTGCACACCCCCTACTGGGGATGTGCTGAAACTAAGGTTGGAAACTTGACAGGAATTGAACCTGGTACCTCTCAGTCCTCAGGCTGAGGCTCTATCCACCAGGTCAAACCAGTTAGGGCAACACTTTGCCTTTATTTATTTATTTATTTAAAATATATTTTATTGGTTTTTTACAGAGAGGAAGAGAGAGGGATAGAGAGTTAGAAATATCAATGAGAGAGAATCATCAATCAGCCACCTCTTGCACCAACCCTACTGGAGATGTGCCCGCAACCAAAATCGGTACATGCCCTTGACCGAAATCGAACAGGCCAACGCTCTATCCACTGAGCCAAACCGGTTTCGGCATGCCTTCTTTTATTTTTATCCTTTTGAGTTGTCAGTATGTTGTAGTGATTTAGAAAGCCAGCATTTTTTATTGAGGGGCCCCTGTTCCTGGCATGTTCTTTCTCCTGTGTATCCATCCATTCTGCTTGCTCCATCATTTCCTTTGGTACTCTGTTCAGATGTCATCATATCAGGAAGATCTTTCTTGGCATTCTTTCATGAGGGAGCACTCACCCCCTTGTACGTTATTAATCAACTACTCCTGTTTATTATATATATATATATATATATGTATATTAATATATATGTCAGTAACATAGCTGTGTCCACTAGAGAGAAGCATTTGTTTATGGAGAAACCTTTTAAGATTCCTTTAAAAAAATAAACCTTATGGATAAAAGCATCCTATATAATAAACGGCTAATATGCAAATTGACCAAATGGCAGAATGACCAGTCACTATGATGCACATGGACCACCAGGGGGCAGATACTTAACACAGGAGCTGCCCCCTGGTGGTCAGTGTGCTCCCACAGGAGGAGCACTGCTCAGCCAGAAGCTGGGGTCATGGCTGGTGAGTGCAGTGGCATTGGCAGGAGCCTCTCCCACCTCCATGGCAGTGCTGAGGCAGTCGGACATCCCCTGAGGGCTCCTGGACTGTGAGAGGGTGCAGGCCAGGCTGAGGGGACCCCACCCCACAGTGTACCACGGCTTGAAGGGCATCTGCAGAGTGAGCTGGGTCCCTACGGCTGGTGGGGTTCTTTGGCCTGGCTTGCGGGGATCAGGCCAAAACTAGCTCCGACATTCCCCGAGGTGTCCTGGAGTGGGAGAGGGCACTCTGCAAAACTGCTGTTGCTCAGCAGCTCCTGCATTGAGCATCTGTCCCCTGGTGGTCAGTGCGTGTTATACCAGCCGGTCAGCTGGTCACTTAGCCTTTTTTTATATATAGATCACATAATGTGGTTCAGAATACAGACAGTTGTGACTAAGCTCCCAGATTAACCCTAGCTTTGAGATCATGGGCAAGTTACTTCTGCTTCAGTGTAGGTACTGATCTGTGACATTGGTTTAGCAATAATTCTGTCATAGAGTTGTTAGGATTTTTAATATAGTCTGTAATTAATGCAGTACTGGGAATGAGTAGTTATATTGGTGTCTACTAAATACATCAAATGAAAATACAGTCATCCCCACTTACAGGAAATGAAAATTGATAAGACCAGATGATGATGTTGATAGGATGTCAAAGCAAAGATATTTAAAGTAAGAATGACTAAACAAATAAAATTTAAAAAATAAAGTAGGAAATGGCCTGGTGAGTGTGGTCAGTTGATTATCATCCCATGCACTGAGGATACTGGTTCAATTCCTGGTCAGGACACATGCCTGGGTTGCAGGCTGAATCTCTGATGTGGGGGGCGTGCAGGAGGCAGCCCGTTGATGTTTCTCTCTCTCTCCCTCTCTAAAGTCAATAGAAACATTTTTTTTTTAAGTAGGAATGACTGTTATATAGTAGGCACTTTGGGGGAAAAAATACTATAAAAAGGAAGCCTCCCATATTTTATTCAAAATACCTACTAACAGACTTTGTTTTGACATGTTATAGGGTGCTGATAACTTTAAGGCAAAAATTAATATTGAAGTACAGTTGGCTTCAGAACTAGCCATTGCTACAATTGAAAAAAATGGTGGTGTTGTTACTACAGCCTTCTATGATCCAAGAAGTCTAGGTAAGTTTGTTTGCTGTCATTTCCTTCTCTTCCTCTTTGTCTAATCCTGGCTGCCATTTAAAAAATCCTCATGGTTATTTGACTTGCAGTTCAGGCACATTGGTTTTCTGTTTTAGGATTTCTTATTAGTGGTGTGGCTAGTGAGGCTCCATCTTCTTTTAATTACTTGAGCCAGTATTTCATAAAGCGGTTTAGTTTTTGTTTTTAATCATGAGGCTTAAATATGATGTTGCCTTTATGTAAGAAATTCATTATTAATTGTTAACCCAGGACTAACTTTGATTTTTAAAGATGCAAACTTTTGAAAAATGAAGTGTTCCCATTTGCTTACTACTTAAGACAAGCGTATTTATAAAGCAAGTTCTTAGAATTAAGTTCTGATCTTAGTAATATTTAAAATTCAATAATGAAAATAATTATTAAAGGTCATTATGCATATAGCCAATATTTGCATCTTTCTTTTTTTATTTAAAAATGTTTTTTAGAGATTCTATGCAAACCTGTTCCATTCTTTCTGCGGGGACAACCCATCCCAAAAAGAATGCTTCCACCCGAAGCCTTGGTTCCGTATTATACTGATGCAAAGAATCGTGGTTACCTGGCGGATCCTGCCAAGTTTCCTGAAGCAAGACTGGAACTTGCCAAGAAGTACGGTTATGTTTTACCGGATATCACTAAAGATGAACTCTTCAAAATGCTTAGTACTCGAAAGGATCCAAGGCAGATTTTCTTTGGTCTTGCTCCTGGGTGGGTGGTGAATATGACAGATAAGAAAATTTTAAAACCTACAGATGAGAATCTGCTCAAGTATTATAGCTCATGAATTCCCTTCCAAGAAAGCAGAATAGGAAGAGTACTGGAAAAGGGAATGAAACATACATATTTCTCCTTGCATTTTCTTAATTTGTGATTCTCCAGATGCCCTTTTTAAAAAAGTTTTCAGTGTGATCATCTTTTTTTTTTTTTTTATATCTAAAATTAAAATGTTCTAAACTAGGGTGGCATAGAGGAACTGAAATGACATGGATTCTCTCTCAAAGATATTAACTTCCTGGTGGTGTGTCAAAGGAAGATTATAATATTTAGAATATTTCTCGATTTTTTTCATGATCTTTTCATCTAGGTCTTATTAGTGTAAATCAGAATGAATTTGCAAGTGGGATGGGATTGATTTGCAGGCCTGCTCAGTCACAGAACTAGTGAGCTAATGCCTCCTCTTAATCAGTGGTCCCAAAGAAGCCCTGCTACCCAGGGTTAAAATGGTAAGCCTCCAACTCAAGGAGATTACGATATGGGATGTGAGTTTAAGGTTTAAGACTGGTGAATGGCTTCTAAGAAGTATGATATTTGCTATCAAAATTGAAACAAAAATTCCAAGTGAATTTTCTTAAGTGATGCATAGACAATTCAGGAATAAGCTACTAATTTTTTTTTCTTTCTTTTTTTTTTAAAAAAAAAGTGAAAAAAATTTTTTTTCCTTTAATATATTTTATTGATTTTGTGCAGAGAGGAAGGGAGAGAGATAGAAAGTTAGAAACATCGATGAGAGAGAGTCATTGATCAGCTGCCTCTTGCACACCCCCTACTGGGGATGTGCCCGCAACCAAGGTACATGCCCTTGACTGGAATCGAACCCGGGACCTTTCAGTCCCCAAGCTGACGGTCTATCCATTGAGCCAAACTGGTTTCGGCTAATGTTTTTTTTCTTAAAGAAAGTAAGTGTTCTAATTCTTATTAATATGCATTTACTTATTTCATAGATATTGAAGATTTTTGTCTTTCAGTCATTTTAAATGATGTCGAAAAATTATTCAGTGAGAATATAAGCCATAAAAACAATTGGTAATGTGAAAATTAAGTACAGCTAATTAATGTGAAAGATTCAGCAATCAGTAAGCTTATTTAGGTTTTCAAAAATATGTTATATCTACCACAGTAGAAATAAAATGATTCCCAGCTCTGTATTTTCTTAAAATAAAAAATTTAAAAATCTAAATGATGCAATATTTTGTTTTGTTAACTTCTTTATGTCATATACTACTGACCTGAGTTCCAATTTGTAAAGTAATTTATGTACCAATAGTATATCTCAGTTTTTCTTCAAAGTTTTATTGTTTGGCTTGTTATTAAACTACTAGAAGCCCAATGCATGAAGATTCGTGCAAGAATGGGCCTTCCTTCCCCTGGCTGCTGGCAGCACCTTTGCTCCAGCCCAGAGTCGACTTTCCACCTTCCCATGCTGCTCAGAGGCCCAGAGCAGCTGGGATGGTGTGGACCGCCTGCCTCGTTGCCATGGCAATGACAAGCATCCCACCCTGCCCCTAGCTGCGCCATGCCTGCACATGCAAATTATCCCAACACCTTTGTTGGGTTAATTTGCATACTCACTCCTGATTGGCTAGCTGCCATCATAAAGATATGGTCAATTAGCATGTTACTCTTTTATTAGGTAGATTCTATTAATACAGAATTTGGGAGAATCACTATTAGGATCATATTCTATGATAGCCATCTAGGAAATTTAAAAACGTTTTCATTTTTCATGGATCCCAAGTGACAGTTGGGGTGTTTGAATTAATTTTGGCTTCATTGATAGGTACCCCAAATCATAGTTGCTTGAATGAGATAAAGTACAGAGACCAGTTCAGGGCTGTTTGCTAGCTCTGCTCCACAAAGTCTCAGAGCCCGTGTCTTCTCCTTGTTTAGCTTTCTCATCTCTAGAGTGAGATACATATCTTTATGATTCAAATAGAAATCAATAAGGAGTCAGCTTTTCCTAAGGAAGATGAAAAAGATGCTACTTTGGATTGAGGAAAACCTCAGCGTCAATCTTTTGCATAGATATGAACTGCCTTAAATGTAAATATTATAGATCTTGTTCTGTATTCTGGCATAAAGTAGCTTACCTGAAAACCCAAGTTTGGCTGCCAGCCACAATGAAAGCCAGACTTGTGAGATAGGTGCCAGTGAGAAAGGAAAAAAACAGGTTTATTCAAGTGACAGCAACCTGAGAAAATGGAGGACTCTTGTCCCAAGGTCCATCTCCCTACCTCAGTACAGGCAGAGGTTTTTCTAGGGAAGGAGCAAGAAAGCAGAACAAACAATTCAAGGGGAGAGGGTTGTGCAGGCCAGCACAGTCTGTTCTGGAAAGGATAGTGTAGTGTGCATCTCCTGGTTTTTGTTTTAAGGTCAGCAAATCGTCAGAGCTGGAATGCCTGAAGGTCGACGTCTGTATCTTCTGACGTTAGTTCCTAGGATTCTTAAACACACATGTTGTTTATCTATAAGCTACATATAAGAGTCAGTAGTTACCGAAATAATGTCAAAAGAATGATGGGGTGGGCTACAGTTCCTCACTGTTACAGGTAAAGTTATTGCCTTGATTTAGTTTTATTATTATTTTTTAAAACATATATTTTATTGATCTTTTACAGAGAGGAAGAGAAAAGGATAGAGTTAGAAACATCGATCAGCTACTTCTTGCACACCTCGTACTGGAGATGTGCCTGCAACCAAGGTATATGCCTTTGACTGGAATCGAACCGGGGACTTTTTAGTCTGTAGGCCAACGTTCTATCCACTGAGCTAAACCAGTTAGGACTTGATTTATTTTTGCTGCTGGAGGTTTTCCTTTTGTGATTCAGTTTACAATTGTCGTTTTGGAGGGGCTGGTATAGCCTCAACACGAAAGTTCTTACTTGGAAACCAGGGAGGAAGTTAAGTCAAGGTAGGTTACATGGGCAATAGTCCTCTAGTCTCAGAATGTACTTTTGAGGGATCTTAGGTTCCCTTCCTCTGAGCAGAATGATTAAGCTACCCTGAGCAACAGTTAAAGATGGGAAAGGAGACAGGCAAACACTAGAGTTGCTTAATTGCTGTCTTAGGTGGTCTGTAGGTGTAAGGAAATTGTGATAGAATGACAAAGGGAAGAATGAAAACAGGAAACAGATGTCTGCTGACTTGGAATGCTCGACAGCACTTACTCACTGAGCATGAGCTTAGTCACAGACAGCTGTATCCTGGTCTTAATATTATAATTGTGCAGGCAATTCTCAGCAAAAACAGGCACATTCCACAGAATCTGTACATTTTGTTTTATAAAGGCAATCCTCAAGTTGTATAGCAGGGAGATTCAGGTTTGTTTTTATTATATAACAACACTGGACCCTAAGGTGTTGCTTGTACTGCTGGTCATTTACAAGGATAATGAGGGAGAGAACACAAGGGTAGACAGTAGCTTTATCTTGTTCATATCACTTAAAAATCTATGTATAAAAGCAAGAAAGCTTCAATCTAGATCAAAGTCCTTTCCTGGTGTGTTTCTTCAGTCTGTTTTCAGTGTACATGGTCTGTTTCTGTCCAAAAACCAGCAAAGTTTGAGCTGCTGATATCCATTTAAAAAGATTCTTTAACACCTGAGAAATAATTACTAGGAATTCCCTCTGTATTAAGTTCCTGGGTTTATTTAATGTTACTCTATTCTTTGGGAAATGGAGTGGCTAATTCAATAGAAGGGAAAAATATCAGATAACAGCAGTGCAACCAAATGTAGTTTGTATTAGAGAATAGCGTGTGCTCTCTGAAGTTAATATACATCTCAGAATAGCTGCCTCTGGATGCTTTGCTGGAGAAGCATAGTACGATGGAAGTAGCTCAGCCTTCTATGTCATAAACCTGGATTTTTTCCAGGCCATGAGAGTAGGTGAATGACCTTGGGCATTTACCCACTGGGCGCCCAGTTGTCTCCTGTGAGGGGGGTATAATATCTGCCTCATCCTGTAGTTGGGGACTCCGTGATGCCTGTGGAGAGGCAGAAAGCGTAGAGAACCAGTCTGCAGAGCTGTGCAGAGAGGTTTATTTGGGCTTAGGTCCTAGTACCAGTGGTGTGATTTTGGCACATTGTTTAAGCTCTCTGCGCCTCAGTTTCACCATTTGGAAATTAGGGAAAAAGATAGATCTCAATGCATATGGTTTTGAAAAAAGTCAGGTTTTTTTTAAAATTTTTTAAAATATATATTTTATTAATTTTTTACAGAGAGGAAAGGAGAGGGTAGAGAGTTAGAAACATCAATGAGAGAGAATCATTGATCAGCTAGCTGCCTCTTGCACACTTCCTACTGGGGATGTGCCCGCAACCCATGTACATGCCATTGACTGGAATCAAACCTGGGACCTTTCCGTCCGCAGGCCGACGCTCTATCCACTGAGCCAAACCGGTTTTGGCAAAAGTCAGGTTTTCTAAGTACTCGCCAGAACACCTGGCACATAACGGTGTCTGTGTGTTTGTCTTTTTATTGTTGAGTTGTAATAGTTCCTTACATATTCAAGATGCTAACCTTTACTACATAGATGATTTGCAAGTGTTTCCTTACATTCTGTGGGTTGTCTTTTTCACTTTTTTTTTTATAGTGTTCTTTTATGCATAAAGTTTTAATTTATATGGAACCCCCCAAAGATCCTGAATAGGCACAGCAATCTTGAGAAAGGACAAAGTGGGAGATATCATATGCCCCCAAACAACCAATCCAATTTTCAACTAGACTATAAAGCTGCAATAACTAAACAGTATGGTATTGGTGTAAAGACAGATTAATTGATCAGTAGAATAAAATAGAGCACCCAGAAAGAATTCCTTGCTTACAATTAATCTACAATGAAGGAGACAATGATATGCAAGAGAGTAAAGGCAATCTCTTTAATAAAGTGGTGATGGGACCCTAGGCTCTTTGACTCAGTGGTTACAGCAGCATCCCATGGATTGAAGGGTCATAAGTTCGATTCCAGTCAAGGGCATGTACCTCAATTGCAGGTTTGATCCCCAACCCTGGTCAAGGCAACCAATTGATATGACTTTGTCACATTGATATTTCTCTCTGTCTTTTCCACTTTCTAAAAAAAAAATCAATGGAAAAAATACTCTCCAGTGAGGATTAACAACAACAACAAACAAACAAATGTGGTGATGGGAAACTGGACAGTTATATGTCGAAAAGGAAATTACCCTTTTAAAAAAAACAAAAAAACCTCCAATTCTTTTATTTTTTAATTTTTATTTAGTTAATATATTTTATTGATTTTTTTACAGAAAGGAAGAGAGAGAGATAGAGAGCAGAAACATTGATGAGAGAAAAACATCTGTCAGCCGCCTCCTGCAACCCCCCACAGGGGATATGTCCGCAACAAAGGTACATGACCTTGGCTGGAATCGAACCTGGGACCCTTAAGTCCGCAGGCTGACGCTCTATCCACTGAACCGAACCAGTTTCGGCTACCCTCTTTCTTCTACCATATACAAAGATAAACTCAAAGACTTAACTAAGACTTGAAGTCATAAAACTTCTACAGGGAAAATATAGGCAGTAAACTCTGGCATTGCTCTTAGAAATCTTTTTGGATAGATTTCCTTGGGCATGGGAAACAGGAAAAATTACATATATAGGACTACATTAAACTAAAAAGCTTCTGCATAGTGAAGGTAACCATCAACAAAGTTAAAGACAATCTACTATATGGGAGAAGATATTCTCAGATGATACTTCACATAAGGTGCTAATATCCAAAATACTTAAGGAACTCATACAACCTAACACCCAAAATACAACCCAATTTAAAAATTGTGTAGAGGACCTGATTAGATGTTTGTTTCTCCAAAGAGGACATACAGATAGCCAATAGATATATAAAAATATACTTAATATCATAAATCACGAGAGAAATGCAAATTAAACCATAATGAAATATCACTTCATACGTGTCAGAGTGGCTATTATCAGTAAGTCAGCAAGTAAAAAGTACTGGTGAGGATGTGGAGAAAAGGGAACCCTCATACACTGCTAGGTTTATGAATTGGTGTAATTGCCAAGAAAAACATTATAGAAATTCCTCAAAAAATGAAAAGAAGAGCTACCATATGACCCAGAATTTTCACTTCTATGTATTTAAAAGTAAAAAGGATATATGCACCCCAATGTTCCTTGCAGTAATGACAATAGTCAAGGCATGTGTTCCCTAGCCATCTAAAACTAGGCAAGACTGCCACCTAGTGGCCAAATGTGCAAATTTCTTAGGAAATTTCTAGGTTTGATCTCAGTCCAACTTAATTAGGGTCATTAATTATTCATGACTTATAAATTCAACAAACACAAAGTGCTTATACATCAGATACAATGCTGGATAATGGAGATACTAAAATCAGAAAGGTAGAGTTCTGCTCTGCAGGTGTACACACTCATTAGATAGAATCAGATAACGAACTAAATAAAGGAATAATTAAGTTACCTTGTGGTAAATACTATATGTAACCTACTCCCAACACAGATCCACCTTTAAGTTTAAAGGCTTTGGAACAGGAGTTCCAAAGTCCTTCATTGGTTGTAGTTGGTGACAAAAAGAAGAAAGGAAATCAAATCCAAAGTAGCAACATGACTTTTACATTTATTTTCATTTTACTCTCAGAAACACTATAAAGTTGTTTAGAAGTCAACTTTACTAAGTTTCCTAAACTTATATTTATAGTATCTCCTTGCATCTTAAGGGTAACACATATATACTGAGTGGCCAGATTATTATGATGTCTGAATGTATAATAATATGGCTACTCAATATATATCGATATTTTAGAGGCCTGGTGCATTAATTCGTGCATGGCTGGGGTCCGTCCAGCTTGGCCAGGGGTGGGAATATGGGTGGTTGGCTGGCCTGCCTGCTGGTCGAACTAAATCCTAGTTGAGGGGACAATTTGCGTATTAGCCTTTTATTATATAGGATATACACCGAGTATCCAGATTATTATGCATTCAGAGATCATAATAATCTGGCCACTCACTCACTGTATAACAAACTCTTGCTTTTAAAGAGTATATATATATATATATATATATATATATATATATATACATATTTGAAAGTTACCTGCAAACTGTTTAAGAAAGAGATGACCAGAAGCTAGTACACTCACAAGCTAGTGTTAAATGTGGTGGCAAAGTGGTCTACAGCTCAGCTTGGGTTTTTGGATAGATGGTCCTGTACTTCCGGAGCCAGCTGCTTATCCCGGAGGGCTGGTAAAGCTCTAAGCCTCAACAGCTTTCCCTGCACAATGGCAAGAGCAGTTCACACCTCTTCATTGGGCTGTGGCGCTGAGTATAAGAGAGAAGATAAAGATTTCATTTAGCAAGTGCTGTGTGGAGTGAAGGTCCAATAAGTAAGAACACTCACTATTTATAAGAAAAGATTTTATGGACCACTTGAAGAGAAGACAATCTAAAGACACATACTTCTTTCCTTATGCATCATGATCTTGGAGTAAAAGCTACTTGGGTTTGTGTCCCTGCCACTGTTATGGCCAAAGGTAAGTCATTTCTTAGCCTCCTGCTTTCTCTCACCTGGAAGATTCATCTCTCTGTGCCAGCCACTAGGGAGACAAAAATAGACCAGGGAAATGTTGTTCGTAGAATTGCTTTTATAGTAAGGCAGTGGGCAAAAAAATAAGTGGGTATATTTTTGGATGTTGTAGTTAAAAAAGCTAAGGGCTG